ATATAAGATGTTGGCTTGTCCAGCTTTATACGTACTTCATACATACAGACAGACAAGCAACGGAACATCTTGCTCTCCAATCAAGTCCACAGAGCTGATGAATTCTTATCAGTGAGAGTATCCCGGCTAGCCCTATTGTTCATTATCAACCATGAATATTCATCCTCCAACTGCCGCCATCCAACTACGATGACTTGCTTGTTAACGTTGACACGTGCTACTTCAATACTCTGATCCGATATCTTATCTTATCTCCACCCGTCCCCCCTATTGCATATATGTAATCACATGATCAGACACAGTGGCAGCTTGTCCGTTGTTTCTTTCTTAGGCACCCTGGGCGTTTCCCCAGGCACCAAGCTTGACCTTTTCCTGAGGCATCAACTTGACCTTTTCCTACAATCTGAAATTTTCCACAACCTAAACTTCCTCAACTCCTTCCCACCTTCAACTTCCTTCCATCAACAACTTCTTCCGCAAGCAGATTCTTCTCATCAACAACTTCTTTCTATCAACAGACTCTTCCTATCTACGACGCCTTGCACAATCTGACTTGATTCGGATTCAGATTCATCTTGTCTGCAGCGTACCATCTTCTCTCTCAAGAGTTCCAGCAGATTCTGAAGGTCTGGTTGCCTTTGAAGCCTTCCCTGAATTGCCTGCTAACTAGGTTCTCAGGACCAGCCCCTCACTCAAGTGACCACTTGCGAGTCTACACCTCAGATAGATTTAACCAGCGGCTTTTACGCGAATCCTCCCGTCGGACTTTAACAACCGAGTTCTTCCCACCTACGAAAGAATTTCACATCTTTCCTAGAGCCTTTCCATCAACCTCCGTGTCTTCCGCGTGTTCAATTGAAGAACACACGCGAGATCCTATCCTCATTTCTAGATTCTACAACTACTCATCACATACTCTCTACATTCCGAGACACCATGACTCCTACTAAGAACGCCACCACCGTTGCCGCCACCGCCTTCCCCGGTGGCCGCAACCCCGCAGTCGAGGGCTCGTCTGTGGGAACTCCTGCTAAGGCCATCCACCAGGCGGAGTCCAACGCCATGGAGGGTTGTCAGGAACACGCTGACAATTCGCTCGGCTCTGTGATGGACGATTATGGTGCCGATTTCTGGTGGGCCGATGACGAGAGCGTCTGGTATGACGATGAGTCCATGGATGACATCGAATTCGATTCTGCCCAGCCAGAGGAGGAACTCAAGGTCGAGGATGATCATAACGTCGACATCGACCTTTCTTCTACCCCTCGATGCTCAGATGTGGCGAAGAAGACAACGCACAAAAAACCCACCATGCACCACTGCAGCATCCGCCAGTGGCTGGATGCCACCGACATGAAGAACGCAAAGAAGTCCAGTGGAAATGGTGTGGGCTTTTGCGACATCCCGCAATACCCGGGATCCCAGGCCGGCGATAACAAGGATGGGCTACGAGCCGCTGAAACGGGTCACAACCATGCTTACCAGCCAATCCGTCAAGGCACCCAACTTCCCGATGCATTTCAGGAGGTCTACAATTCGGAGCCATATGGACCAGAGTTGTCGTTGGCAGAAAGAATGCTGAAGATTGAGAAACGAATGCTCCACGCGGAGCTCGTCGTGCTCTTCGTTTCTGGGAACGAGGAGGCTTTCGCTTCTCGCCTTGAGTACCGACGTGAACGCTTCGGCTCGGAGAGGCTTCTGTGAAGTTGGAAAAAGCATTGGGCATCGGGGGAGAGGAGCATCCAAGGCCACAGAAGGAAATGGGGGAGGGGGGGTGTTCCTGAAGACGCTGGCGCTTGGAGTTCGCGTGAAGCTGGTGAAGGGACTCATGGTTCAGAACCCAGGGCAATTTACCTAGGAGGACGGCATTAGAGGTTTAGTGTATGCGAGGACTTGGGTGCTGATATTGTATGGCGTTTGTACCGGTGTTCTGGCGATTCGCGAAATTGGACTTGACGGGAGTAATTGCCTAGCATGCTAGGAGAGGTTATAATTAGATATCACAATGATCTTACGATGCCCCAATGTTAATGCCTATTGTAAACACCGTATTATCCCTATAGCTGCCACCCTCTAACTGTGAAGCCCTGCTTGGCAATGTTGCTTGACGTTGCGTACTTACACGAAGCTGATCCCTTATCTTATCTTCACCCGCCCCCCTTTATCCCCCCCACCCCCTTATTTCTTATCGTCAACCTTATCGTTCAATCGATCTTCAACAACAGTGCTCTGTATACAAACTGACGTGAGAACTCCGTGCCGCATTCGCTAAAACCCATAGAATTTACGACGCCAGAGCAGCGCCGCATCGATGCATAAGTCTAACGTTTAGATAAACAAGAAATAGCTAAATATAACCATCTCGACATAACTAGCCCCACATGGCGATATTTCACACTAGCTCAACACAACTCTGTCCAACTGCGCCGTTGTCATGCCCATTTTCTTATTAGATTGGTAGATGCCTAGTTATTTGGCACCTTAGTTTATAGCTGACAACATCAATTTGTTCAATTCCCTATTCGTTCGTTCCCGCAAACCGTTCCGGTGAACGCGATAAAGCAGCCCAGCATGGCATTGCCAAGTGACCTTTGGGGCAGGATAAGCAGCAACGTGCCCCTGAATCAACTTCTTCCTGCTATCGCTGCATTAGTAAGTGAAATCTAGCCTCACATTGGGGGCAATATCAACAAGGGAAGCCTCAACTCAGACCGACATAGGTACTCGCCTACTGTATAAGCCGAGCTGTCTACAATCTCAAATTCCATCCGCTCTCCAAATATCCAGGCCCGAAGCTTGCCGCCATCACCGATCTTTGGTGGGCTTATGCCAGGTAATTGCATATCATGCTGGTTTCACCATCCTATATACTATGAAGAGAAGTTGCCATACCACGATCCAAATTGACAGGTTGAACATCGTAGTACGACAGGAAGATACCCGTGGATAATTGAGGATGTGCTCAAGCAATACGGTATCTCCCAAACTCCTACTATACCTACCCGATTCTAGAAGCCTAACATCATGATGTTCATAGGCGACGTTGTCCGCATTGCCCCCAACGAGCTCGTGTTCCTCACGCCGCAAGCAGCCAAAGGTCAGCTCAGCTCAGCCCCACCGTCACAAGATTTTACCGGCATATGGTGTGTTATAGGTGTATGTTATTGACCTGCGTGACTGGGACAGACATATACCTCGCGCAGGAGAAGAACCTGGAGCTGTTCGTGCAAGTCGGGTATGACGCCCTCGACACAGGCGACGGTGGGATCTCGGGGGAGACCAATCCCGTAAGGCACCGTGAGATAGCGAAGAGACTTGCACCTGCCTTCAGCACGAGGAACTTCAAGGCGAAAGAAGGCGCCGTGCACAAGCATATCGACCTGTTCATCGAGAAAATGAAGGTCGCTGGGGCGACAGAGCAAGGGGCAGAGCTGCAGCGTTGGTCGGACTGGCTGGCGTTGGACCTCTCTGCCGACATGACCTATGGCCTCGAGATGGGCCAGATGCGAGATAGTGAGTAGTTCTACACAACCCCCCCCCCCCCCCCCCCGAAACCTTCCAGGTGATCGATTGCCATTTCTAACTAGGACGCACAGTGAAGGATTCCCTGCTTCTCGGCTCCACTCTGAAGATGAACCTATTCCTAGCGATGAGCCAGATCACGAGGAAGGTCCGGCTGCTCACCCCTCTGATGTTCCTCGCCATCCCCCCCTCCATCATACTCGCGATGCCGAAGCTCATCAAGATGAACGCCCAAGACGCCAGGCGGCGCATCGAGCGCCGGGGCCAGACGGAGCATCTCGACTACTTCGAGCAGCTGATCCCCGCCGACGGGCCCGTGCCCGAGGATAAGAAGCAGATGTACCACGTGGAGAACGTAGCCGGCCAGCTGCTCATCGCTAGCTGGCAGCCGCTGGCGAACCAGTTCTACTCCCTGGTCTTCTTCCTTCTCCAGGAGCCGGCCGCCTATGCAGCCTTGGCGGGGGAGGTAAGAGCCGCGTTTGCAACCTACGGCGCAATCAACACGGAGACTACGGGGCACTTGAAGTACCTGCAGGCTTGCGTGCAAGAGAGCCTTCGACTCCACCAAGATACGGTTGACGGTCTACCGCGCGTGAGCCCTGGCGCTCTCGTCGATGGTACATATATTCCTGCAGGGGTAGGTCTCCATTGCTGCATCTCAAAGTGATCTATCTGGTCTTTGCATATTGGTCCTGACATTAAAATCTACTACTTAGGTCACCTGTCAGATCAGCTATTTTGCCGCATCGAGAAGCCCGCGCTTCTTCACTGACCCGCTCAAGTTTCGCCCGGAGCGCTGGTTGGCGCCAGACCATCCTAGATTCGACCTGAGATATAAAGACGACAACCTGAAGGCTTCCAAGCCTTTCAGCCAGGGGCTGAGGGGCTGTCCTGGCGGGGCCATAGCCGTAGCTGTGATCCGATTGTTCATTGCGAAGGTCTTGTGGCAGTTCGATTTGGAGGCTGCGCCTGGTCAGGACGGTTTGTCTTTTGACAGGGATTTCAAGTTTCTCGTATTCTGGGAAAGGCCGCCCTTCTGGGTCCGATTCAAGCCTGCCCAGGAGGTGTCATGGTTGGCATCTGCAAGCAAATAGTCCCTCCAATTCACTTGCCCATATATACCACTATAGGAATTCCCAGTGTGACTTGGAATTCTGTATCCCTTTTACAGGGAATGGTGGCTTGGTGGTAGTGGCTAGGTCCCACCATGACAGTAGTATTGTAAGCGCAAAGAAGCTGTATTGTATTGTATTGTACGTAAAAGCAGTAGTTATATGAAACGCGCGACTAATTAAACTTTCGAGCGGGCTGTTAAAGCTTTATACCGCAGAAGGAGTAGTGATCTTACCTAGGTATTAATCAGAAAAAGGTTCCGGCAGTGCGCATGCACACTGCTCGGTTGCAGGGATTTCTAGGCAATCCCAAGAGAATTGCAAAATATCAAAAAATGAAGCTTCGACTTGTTCGTCGAAGGGCTCAGGCCGATGCGGGACTCGAACACGCAACCTTGATCTGATTGATACACCTTTATAGGAGGATCACACGCTACCTATTCTGTTATTAGTGGGCTGTTTGCTTGTGATCTGTTTTAGGAGATTTGGAACTCACCATTGCGCCAACCGGCCTTTTTTGTGATTTAACCCGGTCTTATCGATTTCTATATCCTTTGCTAGCATTCACGTGACCCGCCTTGGGACTTAGTTATTCCAGGTGCTGCTATCTAACTAAAAAGTAGGGACCTTATCGGAATGATATTGATTTTTGATATGTTTGTTGGGTGAGTTATGCGCAATAGACGTGTTGTATACGCCACCAGATCTGTTTTACAAGCGAAGTACTAGGTAAGATCCTTTTCATCTTAATCGATAGGTAACTTTGAACTATCTGGTTTTGGTAGCTATGTTAAGTTCAAGGTTGATTGGCATTGGAATAGTTCCGTCCGCGTCTCGCTAGGTTCCTACATGTATGTAGGCACCTACGGTTGTGGACAGCCTTCCAATTAGGGGACCTGTGCCACTAGGCGCGCAATTGGTTCAGTGCAACATGGAATTTCGACCTCAGGACCAACCACCTTAGCAAAGTAATATACATGTCCTTGGGGGCTGGCATAGGACACCCTTCTGGTCTCAGGCTTTGTATATAGATACTTGCATAGGTAGATCTAATGCACGACCTTCGAGCGGGATACCCGGGAAGTAATAAGCTGCCTGCACAGGCTGCATATCACCTACGTAGATTTATATCAAGCTCTTGGGTGTAGAGCTCCCGAGTGTGGGTATGTAGAAAACCCCAAGCAGACGGCGGTAGCATAGTCGCCATCGTGGCTGATGCTGATGGAGGCATAGCAGTCCTCATAGCAGTCGTCCCCTTTGATCAGTGCGACCGGAGGACCGCTTGATCGCGCATCATCAATTGCAGGTGGTGACGGATCCCGATCTTCATCTTGCGCTGGTTGGTTGTCACTGCTGCTGCCAGAGGGCGGTGCATCGTGCTGCTGCTGTGGCTGATGCGCCGCGCCGGCAGCTGCTGCGACGAAGCGATGGCGCATGATGGAGATGCAGTGAAAAGTGAGCTGCCTGTGCGGATGCGCTTTGATCGCTGCTTCCTTAGCGGCAAATCTGGGAATGTTAGTTACCTCGCAGTAATGTAGTGAAGTAATATAAAAACAACGATTTCTCATTGCCATGTCATTTTGTGTAATATCGGATCATGAAGAAATGCGCTAGCTGGTTGATTTACCTGCCCGCCATAAACTCCGCCGCCTTCCAAACCGCTGGGTCGATTGCCCCTAATGGCTTAGGATTGTTATGTTCTGGGGAGTTTGGAGGGGAGGATGATGCATCTTGAGAAGATTTGGAGCGGCTTTTGAAGACATGTTGTAGTATGCCCTTGCATCTTGGCTGCTCCTGCTCCTCTGATGTGAGTACTCGGCGGATGAACTGGGCACCACGTTTCGAGGTCAATATTCGATATATCCTGGGAATCTGGCATATGTCATTGCCAATGTGGAATGGCAAAGGTGAAATAGGGGTGGGCATTATCGAGCAGAAGTTGGTAGGGATGCAGATTCGAGCTACCCAGAGCTGCATATTCCATTGGAATATGTCAAATGGTGACTAAAAGTAGGTATGTATAGTTATCGATAGCAGCGATGCCCACTGCAATGAATAATCTGTCCAATTAATTCCACGTCAGTAGACTTTCACTCACGCCTGTACCAACAAAGACACATATTCCCAGCGAAAGATTGATATTTCAGCCATGCTAACTTCAATTACTAAAGCATCAAGTCAATGCATGTTACAGGCCTTTTGCTAACACATATGAAAGCCATACCTAAACCCCATAGCTAGTGCAACTTTTGCTCCTTCAGTCAGGATCAATCTGTCGGGAACTCCAAATGAACACCTTCGCCTGAACAACCCTGACCTAAATTCCAGCAATGACAACATGAAATATCGAGGCGAGAAGCCAAGAGTTTTGGAGTGGAGGGATATTTGCTTTTTTAGCCTTTAGAGTACGCATCTCTGGTGTTGGGTCACTACTCCCAAAGACAACATTTCCAGCAGAAAGCATTCACTATGAGCGAATCGCCTAATTGTCTCCAAGGAGAGGAGCACGCTCGGTATCGGCTGCACGTGCTTGCCCAAGCTTGGCGTCCTTTCCAGTAGCCGCAGGCACCGCTACCACCACAGTCGCAATAAACAGGATGGCCATGATGATGAACGCGAAGATCCACTGGAACGCGATGACCTGTCGGAAGAACTGGGAAACACCTATGGCCGCCGACAGGACACTGAGGCTGAAACCGATAGTGTAGTCCTGCTTAGTATGTTAGTGGTTGGGCTTATACAGAAGGATATCTCGAGATGGGCTTTCTGACCTTGTACGCCACGATGAAGAAGAGGCCATACACGAGAATGGACCAGATGAAGATGTTGCCGAAGATACGGGCCACGAGAGACGTCGGGTGCGGCACCATGATAGCTCCGTTCCAGTAGATGGCAACGAATGTCCATGCCAGAGGTGCAGACACAACTGGCGTGTGGATGAATCGAGCATACCCGGGATGTCTGAAGTAGAGCGACGACAAGTTGATGAAGTTCAAGATGATCATCACCTCCGCCCAGGCGAAGTGGGAGCGCACGAAGAGCATGACGAAGGCAAAGTGGAACAGATTGTTGACGACTGGAGCACCCGGAATTAGCAATACTGGACAGGGCAGAGAAGGGAACCAACAAATTCCGAAAGAGATCGCTTACTGAAGTGGCTTCCGACAGAGGAGGCTTGGTTCACTCTCTCGACTTTGCCGGAGAAGAGGTGGGCGATATACCCTCCCTGTAGGATGAAGAGGACAACCCTAATCACAACTTGTTAGAGGCGACATAATGATCGAGGTTAGGGCCTTGGATATAATATCCTACCAGTAGATGCTAGCGATGACATGGTTCATCCGGAAGGCTGTGTGGTAATGGTCGTTCTGGTGCCATATCCGTCGGCGGGCAAAGGTGCCATCGTGGGGGGCGTTGACAGTGTAGTAGATCGTCACGATCAGGGACAGGAGCCAGGAGACAGTGGTGAGAACCTTGTACGTGATGATAGTGTTCTTGCTATGCTCATCGCGCTTCGCGAACGGATTGACTACAGCAGACAGAACAGCCAGTCAGTATTCAGCAGTCAGTGATTCACTAAATCGATCTATTGATCTACTCAAGGTTAAACGTACTGCGGTGGAGGCGGTCCATTCTGGCAATCTGTATGCGCTATGTTGCTAGTGTCGATGTGCTGCTGTATGGGTGTAGTCTGAAATAGAAGTTGTTCTCCTCCAAGGTGGAACGAAATGAAGGAGAAAGGAAGGATTGGGAAGATTGGGAGTTTACACAAAGAACCCCAATACCGCGAAAATTTTCCAAGTTCAGCTCCGATACGATCAAGTTCTGTTGCACAGCTGACTGCCTATGTATGTATAGTAGTCCGTACATACAGACATACCAACGTCCTACTACCTCATAGTTACTCGGTACACACGTGGAATGACGACTTGGAGTTCCGGGTTGTCAGGGTTGTTAAGGCAATGGTGGGGTTCCCGCCGCACTATCCTAGTCCTGGGCTGGGCCTCCTAGCACCTATACCACAGCTATACTCGCTAATCCTAGCCGGCTTAGCGCGTTATAGCGTTATAGCGTTATAGCGTCGTAGCATTTGGCGGGGAAGTGGAATGTATGACGTCGATTCTGTGCATCGCCCGGCTTCATAGGCCAATCTGCCAACGGTCCAGCAAGGTGTGCATGTTCTATTTAGGTACTCGCCATGCAGGTTTGAAACGGCATTCTGTTCTTCCTGTTTGGATGGCTTGTTTAGCAGATGAGTTCGTCATCTCTCGGATCCAATCAAGGCAGAAACTCGCAACTACGACGTGTCACGGGCACACAGATTGATAGCTGATAGCTTGTTGGAGTTCTTCGTACAGAGAAAAACCAATAGAAGCCGTCGCACGAGGAGCTGACAGCCAGCGTAAACTTACTACACGGTACATATGTTCACTGCTAGAGCTACCTACATGAGGTACCTAGCCTCAGTGCGATGTTGTTCCGCATCTGGCCGCTTACCTGGACGCGTCAACATTGGATGTTGGATCGAGATCATGACCGATTGGTACTTGTGTATCAGGAATGAGACCGAGGGTTTGGAGTTGGTCCTCAACAGCGCTAGGTATGAACAGCAACATATACATACGTATGTTACTATACACCATGCTGTCAATAAGAGGCATCGAGGGAATCCGCGTAATATTTGCAATTGTATAATATAGTTCAGACGGCTGCCACTGATGGACTAAGGAGCCTGCGCAGTCCGAGTCGAAACGATGGGTGGCCGGACTATAACGTCCGGTCCGATCCATGCCGCCCTTTATTCTCCTAGCGGCATGTCCTATGTACCGCTATACGTACAAGCCGCAGTCTTCGTGAGATTGAGGGGTCATAGTCACCAGCCAATGGCAATGTGTGCGATCATAAATATATTAGCCGCATATATCACAAACTGCAGGCTTGTACGGACAGGAATCGAAAAGGTGCTACGTTATGATGACGTCCTCTATAATTTGGAATCTGATTTAGTTGACCTTACCAAGGCTCATCGCTACTTACAATAGTAGTAGAATGTAGTATGTGGGTTGAAATGAACAATAATATCTTCTACTATAAGCTGATGCGACATCCTACAACAAGTTTAGCACAGATACCGGTATCCTTTACCCACGGTATCCGGCTCGCCAGCCCACTCTGCTTCTTGTTCTTTCAGCTCGAGTTTGCGATTCTCCCGCTTCAGGACAAATTGCAAAACAGTGCTAGCTATGATGGCCATAATAGCCATTGCTGCGTTTACGCTGAACGCGATGACGAACCGTGGCTCCGCACCATTTGGGTACACTGTGACATGTGGAGTTAGCTACTTGACTTGGGCGATGAGTGTATTATTGCCTTTGCTTATGAGCGAGGAATTGAAAACGACAAAGAACAACGCGACGCAGACACTCTGGGGATGGGGGTAGGAACCGGAACAGAATACTTCGAAAGATGGCTTACGATAAGCACCATAGATGCTGCACAGCGTCGAGACGGCA